GTGAAATGCATTTCCCAATGTCATTCCCCCCCCTGTGTCTGCAACACAATATTTTATGCTTCCGACTGATTTCACCTCATTTGCAAACTCTTCAAAATTTGGAATAGGTTGGCGTGCCTGTTTATTCAGCAGGAACTGAGATCAAACCTGCTGAGATAGCACGAAAAGGTTTAGAAGAGGCCAGAAAGAAGAATGTCAATGTGGTTATTATGGATACAGCTGGAAGGTTTCAGGTAACAATCTACGCTACAAAGAATTTGAAGATTATTTTACTGTCTATGAATTAGGATGTCTTAAGATTTCTCTTTCATCAGATAGATAAAGCGATGATGGATGAATTGAAAGAAGTGAAACGGGTATTAAATCCTACAGAAGTCTTACTTGTTGTAGATGCAATGACTGGCCAAGAAGCTGCAGGTATTTGTACTTGTATCTGTTAAAATTCTTAACATCTGTAATAACTTTGAGGGTATTCATTGTCATTTTCTTACTAGGTAGATTAAAGTAAGCTTTCACCTCTTTGATTTCAATGTGAAATGTGCATTGCTTGTTATCGGAGCTAAGTTGCTTCTTGTGGTTGATTACAAGAATGGCCTGTCCTAAGAATGTCTAATGATAAATGTAGACAATAAAAGATAAAGCTTTCGCATTGATAACGCTGATCCTTTAGCATCACTAAGAGCAAAAGAATTGTTTTTCCCTTTCCAATACGCTTAGCAATCTGCTGTACCACATCAGGTTGCTGTTCTAGTCATCTACTTGATTGTCCTCTGGTCATCTCAACTATGTGGCTTTGTACAAGATGCCCTTTCTCATGGTTCATGCTCAGCAATGCAGAACCATGACCTGTATATCCGAGTTTGGTACATTTGCATAATATTCACGTTGCGTCTTGTCAGTTCAAGAAATGTAATATGCATTTTGTCTTGCTATGAGAAAAACACGTGCTTTTTTTTCTTTTTCCTTTTTTTATGAGTGCAAGAATCTTTTAAAAAAAGTATGGCTTCAACAGAGTGAATCTCTTAGTTATATCATCTCAATATTTTTTTTCTTGAAAAAAAAAACAATCTGATATTTTTTTCGTTTAGCAAAAAGATGTTTGGAACCATGGATTATTGAAACTTAGTAACTAATGCAATTATCTGCTAGTTAGTGTGCATGCATGTCTATTTGGAATTATAGATGTATAAGTATAATTTACAAATTTAATGTGGAAAATGAGATTCCTTTTGGATATTTTGAGAGTTATTTCTCACTGTAGTTTTTTGCAATAACTATAGCTTTGGTCACAACTTCAATCTTGAAATTGGAATCACTGGTGCCATTTTTATAAACTGGATGGAGATTCCAGAGGCGGAGCAGCTTTGAGTGTGAAAGAGGTACTGCCTTTATAGAAGTGACCTTATGTTTATGATGTTTCCCCTGGCTTTCCCATTCCTCATTTTAAAGAAGCAAAGTTGGAATTTCCTCAAACTACTTTGCCCAGATATTAAGAGTGCATTTTCATGATTTCTTATTCGAATAAATAGTGCAGCCATTCGTGATTTTTCTTTATAGGATGAATTAAAAACATTGTAATAGAATGTCATTTTGCTTCGACATCTTCTACAGCATGAAAATTGTGATATGACATTCTGCTTTTGATTACCATCAACCCTTTGAAACCTAATAGTCATTATAGTTGGAATGGGATGAATTTGCAATATAGTAACGAAATGGTTTTTGACGCATGAAGTCTTCAAAAGATTAGTCAGTGCACCTTTTCCCAACAAATTAAAAAAGGATAAATCACCTAAAACTTTAATTATTCTTGTTAATGAAAAGAAGTTGGTGGCATATAATACTTAAACAAATCACAGGTATCTGGAAAGCCAATCAAGCTTGTTGGAAGAGGGGAGAGGGTCGAGGATCTTGAGCCTTTCTATCCTGACCGTATGGCAGGACGTATCTTAGGAATGGGGGATGTTCTATCATTTGTCGAGAAGGCTCAAGAAGTTGTGAGTGCAACTAATTTGCCTCTACTTAATTGCTCCTTTTATCCTGTGGAATCGCAAGATCATTTATGCCTTTTTCCAACACTCAACAGATGCGCCAAGAAGATGCTGAAGAATTGCAGAAGAAGATCATGAGTGCTAAATTTGATTTCAATGACTTCCTGAAGCAAACCCGTGCAGTTGCACAGATGGGTTCCATGTCTCGTGTAATTGGAATGATACCTGGCATGGGGAAGGTATAAATTCTTCTTCTTCTTGTAGTTTGCTTGTTTAAAAATATAATCATGTTCTTTTTGTTTTCCGTAAGTGTAGAGAAATTTAGATAGCTCATGTTCCAGAGTTGTGGATCAACAAGTTGAAATTTTGGATACTTGGTTAAGTGCTTCTGATGAATGGATATTTCATTGATGGACGAACAGGTTACACCGGCACAAATTCGAGAGGCAGAGAAGAATTTGAAGATAATGGAGGCAATGATTGAAGCAATGACCCCAGGTCTAATCAAGTCTTGTTGAGAATCTCTACAATCTTGTGAAGCAATCTTATACTTGATTCTTTCGTCTTTCCTCTGATTCCTACCAATTAGCATGTCCTCACCTTTCTATCACATTTTTCAACTTCTTATTTACTTGTTCAAAGTAGGATATTAACAATTTATTCATATATAGTGACTCTGATACATTACATGGAAAAATTTGTCTTTTTCTTTGAGGGCATATGTGTTCCTTGGTTACAATTGTATGTACTTAAGAGAAAGTTTTAGGTTTATTGCTATGTGAACTAGGAAGACAGATTCTTCTTTTGTCTAACCCGGCTTCAGAATGTCTTTTTGAATGTGTTCTGATTCAGTGCACACACTCTTTCTTTCTTGCATGATCAAAATGAGTTCTGTTTTTACTTTCTTTTTTAGTTATTAGTCATAATTTTAGAATAAACATAGGATGCTTTATACATATTCCCTTTGGTCAGCTAAGCTAACCTGTTAACTTGCAGAGGAAAGGGAGAAACCAGAACTGTTGGCAGAATCACCTGCAAGGAGGAAACGGGTTGCACAAGATTCTGGAAAAACAGAGCAACAGGTATATGGAGTCCTGTGGTGGTTCATCGACAGCCCAAAACAAAACTTTTCTTTTCTTTTCTCTGCATGTATCCAGCATCATTGCCTAATATAAGTTTTGGGTAAAACTTTTAGGTGAGTCAACTTGTTGCTCAACTTTTCCAAATGCGTGTACGTATGAAGAATCTCATGGGCGTAATGGAAGGTGGATCTATTCCTGCATTGAGCAATCTTGAGGAGGCAATGAAAGCTGAACAGAAGGTGCATATGTGTCTGTCTCATTTGCATGTGCCATCTCTTCATGTACAAACTTCTCAGAAGAGCTGGAATAGACAAAACAAGTTAATTCATGCATCATTCAAACTCTGCTCCTGCTTTATCCTGAACTTGATTTTTTATTCATAGTCTAGCTTGATCCTACTCTAACTGGAACCGAGTATCTCCCATTTCGTTGTTTGTTGCAAGAACCCAATATTCTATTCAGATTCTCCAATGTGGTTCAAGAAAAAACTTTTGTATCATACTAGCATCTATCTGGTCACATCCTATCTGAATATTAAGTGTTTTTCCAATAAACATTTATGTTGATCGATGCTCTGCAGTTATCACCAAAGTTGCATCACTGTTTTATTCTTGGAATGCATCATAGCTAACACGTAATGTAGCTGCTGATTCATTGACAACTCGATTCTTTTGTTAATGAACCTAACACGTTTCGAACTCCGTTTCTGTGGCCTTTCTTACATCAGGCTCCTCCTGGTACTGCTAGAAGGAAGAGAAGATCAGAGTCAAGGAGACAGTTTGCTGACTCGCTTCATCAAGACCAGGCCCTCGAGGTTTTGGAGCCAAGAACTGAGAGCCAATTTTTCAAACCAATTACAGTGGCAAGGTGCCTGCCATTGGGCAGTTGGACCAGTTACATATTCCATCTGTGTTCTCCAGTTGACATCAGAAGCCAGAGGTTTAGAAAATTTTCCTTTGAAAGAGAGAGCTTACTGCCCTTTTTTTTTTCTTTTTTTTTTTTGGGGAGGCAGGGGGGGTCGTGGAACGGGGAGGGCTGGAGGGGCAACGGAGATTAGTTTTTTCGTGTGAAAGTGCTTTGTTTGAAATGCTTGCACGAATAGAAAGCCTAGATTTGTGTTTCATCACTTTTCTTTTTTTTTTTTTTTGATTCAAATGGAGGGTTGAAACCCATTACAAACGAAACCATTCTGGGCCTAGCAACACCCACTAAATCAAAAACTAACAAGCTTCTAACCGAGAGTTAGGGGGATTAACAAAAACTATCTCCAAATCTAACTGTACACTAAGCTTAGCTAAATGATCACTTTGATGTACAAATGTTCTTCATGTGTCGTGACGTCTCCCAATAAATTTTACTTATCCCTATATGATATCGGCTAACTAAGGAAACTGAGGTAGAGGACTAAGATTACTTCCTTGTGGATGCTTATTTGATAAAATAAAATTAAGGGAAAAATCGATAGTTAATGATTATCATGATACTTCAGTGTGTAGCTTTCTTTCAATCCAAACAGAATTTAAAGTAACCATTACTACTTAACTTCCTCGCGCTTTTCTTGCTCCTTTCTTTTTGCGTCTAAGGAACAATAATACCTATGTGGCAAAGAAAAGTCCATGGATTTAAATATTGTCAGACGAATCATGGAAATACAAGAAAGCAAAAATATCAAGACAACCAACGTGTGTATATATATACATGGCTGACCATAGCATTTTTATGAAATCCCATTTTGCGTTAAATAAAACAGTGGAGGGCCAAAAAAAAAAAAGAGGAAGAAAAAGAATCGGCACAGCAGAGCAGGAGTAGTGATCGAGGGTGATTTGGGAAATTGGAGGTCCGAGGTTGATAAGCAGCACCTGTTTTGTCGGGCAGTTGAAAGCAAGGACGGTGAAGTGGCAGTTTTTTTTTATTTATTTTTTAATTGGGTTTGGTGAAGGGGTAGTTGAGATCCTTTTTCACGATAGCATTTGTAGGGCTACTGACAAGTGTTTGGCCAATTTATCTTTGCTTCCAATTCTGGAAAGCCAAATGCTATCAGCTTAGCTCTCTTCCTTCCCCATTCTCCTTCCCATTAACAATCAAGAGTCAAGACAAGCTACGAGAAGAGGAAACATAGAGAAAGACTGGAAGCAAATAGTAGTATATTATTTGTAATATTGTAATCCTGACAGAAAATGGCAAGCCCTGGAGACGCATTTCCGGCTGCTGACGCTGAAAAGGAGTTAAACCCAGGAGAAAACAAGAATTTCGAGGTCGATCCCGTCTCCTCAGAAGTTGCTACCTCTTTGCAGATTAAGGTAATGTTTCCGAAATCCAAGCCTGCAGTGCAGATGTCAGTTTCCTGACTTTAGAATGCAGATATGAGCGAGTCCAAAGCAGTTTTTGTGGAATCACGTACACAAGCTGCTCTCAATATTAGTTGATTGCTTTGTTTGGTGCATTTGATTGTTGCTGTTTAATTACTTACAATGCTGCAATGTTGTCAGGAACAAATTGAAGCAGCAGAGAAAAAGGAAAATGAGAAGAAAGATGCATTGGATAAATTTAAATCAGCTATCCTTGTTTCAGGAATTGTTTGTAGCTCTGGCTGGAGCTGTGTTCCCATAGTCAAAAAGTTAAAAGAAAATGATACTAAATGTTCCATGAATATCTTGGACAAAATTTTTGTTCTTATTTCTTTGGCTATTGTTGTCAATTTTTTTTTTTTAATTTGAAAATACCCTATTTTCTTCTTTGCTATTCTCTTTGTAAGATTAAGCAAATTTTGTTTTGTTTCTGATATTCTTTGGTGGAACCATTATTGTTTCCTTTCTAACTGTTCTTTGGGGTTGAGATGACAACGCCTCTTTTTTTTTTTTTTTCAACAATGGGAATTTAACAGGGGAAAAGCTAAATTACATTCAGAGACACCAAAAGAGTCTCACTCAACCTAAGGGCTACGTAACTTCACCATCCAGGCAATTACTAAATTTCCCAAGAGTTGCTTGTAACATTTGACTCAAAGAAATAACAATCCATGTTTAATGTCTCGTGTTCAGACTTTTCTCTTATCTGAAAAGATTTCCTATTTATTACTGTAATTAATAGTGGTAGTTTTACAGCTCCCGAAACCTATGCAAGCAAAGTGTAGCATCCTATTTACTTTTAACATTAATTATATAGGGCCTGTTTGGAACCTGAGTTTTTTGGGAGTTTGTCTAAAACTTTACTGTAGTGCACTGTAGAAGTTTTTGAAAAAATTTTGTAGAAATTTTTGTTAGGTGAAAAATTTTGTAAAAGTTTTTGTAAGGTGAAAAACTTTTTTTTTTTCCTTTTCTTTTTTTTTCTTTTTTTTTCTTTCCCTTTCTTTTTCTTTTTCTTTTCTTCTTCTTTCTTTCCTTTTTCTTTTCTTTCCTCTCTTTTTCTTTTTCTTCTTCTTCTTCTTCTTCCCCGTTACCTCCACCACCCCCAGCTGCAACTCCACCTCCCCCGTCCCCCTCTGCCCCTTCCCCCTCCCCCCGCCTTCCTCTCTCCCCGCTGTCCCCCTCCCCCCTCAGCCTCTCTCTCCCCCGCCTTCCCCCTCGTAGCCCCCCTCTGCCCTTCCCCCGCCTTCCCTCTCTCCCCTGCCGTCCCCCTCCCTGCCGCCTTCCCCCTCCCCCGCCGCCTCTCTCTCCCCCATCTTCCCCCCCGCAGCCCCCCTCTGCCCCTTCCCCCTCCCCCCCCTTCCTCTCTCTCTCCCCGCATTCCCCCTCCCCCGCAGCCTCTCTCTCCCCCGCCTTCCCCCCTCTGCCCCTCCTCCCGCCTTCCCTCCCGTCCCCTCCCTGCCCCCTTCTCCTCCCCCCGCCGCCTCTCTCTCCCCCATCTTCCCCCCCGGCAGCCCCCCTCTACCCCTTCCCCCTCCCCCCTCTGCCCCCTGGCCACCCCTCTTCCCCTCCCCCTCTGCCCCCTTGGCCGCCCCTCTCTGTGCCACCCCCCTCTGCGCCAGACGTAAGAGAGAAAAAAAAAGACAAGGGAGGATGATGGCAGGGGAGGAAGAGGGGAGAGGGAAAAAAATGGGGAAAAAAAAGGACAGGCACCGGCACCGGAAATTGGTGACGGAGCCGGCAATGGAGGTGGTAGTGAGGGAGGAAGAAGAAGAAAAGGGGAAGGGAATTTTTTTTGTTATGTTTTGGATATTTTAAGTGTGTAGGTTAAAAACTTTGATAAGTTTTTTGGGGTTCCTGTAGCAAAAGTTGTTAAAAAACTAGTTTTATATAAACTTGGTAAAAAACCAAGCTTCCAAACAGGCCCATAGTAAATCTTACCATCTATACACTATCACGATTGGATATACGATATATACGTAAAATTTAAATTTTAAATTTAAATTCAAATTATGTATCATGCATATCTATATTTATATAAATTTGAGAAGGGATTTTTAGTAACAAGTTTTCATGCATTTTCACACAATCAATTCCATTTTTCTAGCATTTCACATTTAATTTAATTTATTAAATATATTCCTTTCAACTTTCACATCTACTCTTCACATTTGAAATTATTCGTTACCTTTTAAAATCATTTCATTTCAAATTATTGGTTAATATGCATGTTATCCTATTTGAACTTCAACCCATCACGTTTTCGATTGTCTTGCGGTATTTATGATTCTACAACAATTAAAACTTCTATAAGACCATAAGAAAAGATAACAAATATAACATCTTTTCATACTTTCTTACTAATTTAAATAAGTAAGATTATTTACACTCCAATTTTGTTATTCACACTTCAATAATCATTTTGGTTATATACTTTTCATTAATTATACTATATGATAAAACAAATAGTGGAATTGCAAATAATAAAAAATAGAGTGCAAATAATATTTTCTTAAGTAAGAAGTGGCTTCAATGTCTTTTTAATTTAAAAAAGTAGTGACTCCACTTATATAGGAATTTGATTTGAAATCTATTAGTGGGAGGGTAAATAAAAAGAAAGTATTGCCAAACTTAGTAAAAGTAAAAAAGTAAATGACAATATTTTATTTTTTAATTTAGTAATCCTAAGTAAAAGGGTAAAATTAAATAAAAAATATTCATGAAATAATGTCGTGGATTTAAAAAATCAAGAATGGTACCATTCATGAAATCCAAATTATAAAATCACTAAATAAAAAACAAAGTACTGCTAGCCTTTTAATGTGGAAACTTTTTTTTTGAAATATTCATTTTTGATAAAAAAAAATAATGATAATAACAACACCAATTCTACCAAAATTTATAAAAAAAAAACATTATAGTTTAAGAGAAAGATATAGAACATTCAACCCTAAAATACTACTTAATTTGTATATATCTGGCCCAAATTTGATATTAGATTTGAATAAGAGTGCAAAACCCAAACACTAAGGATAACTTTTGATATCATTAATTATTTAGTATTCTTATTGCTCTCTTCATATGTAAATATGTATTTGCTATGTTAAATATATATATATATATATATTGATTGTAGTACTTGAGAATATTATAGATATTATCAGTTTTTCATTCCCATTATTAGATACTAATAATTGCAACCATTGTAATCAATTTTCAAAATTATATTTTCATTATGATAGGTAAAATTAAATATATTGGGTTGCAGGGATATGAATTTAGAGATTAGATATAGGGGGATGGAGGGAAAAAAATAGTGAGAAGTTGAAAAGTGACGGGAAAGGTTGAAAAAAAAATATGGATTACGAGGATGGGCAGAGAAGGGAGAGAGGAAGAAAGAGGATTGCCATGAATATGATTGAAATGACAAAAAAATAATAATAGGAGAGTGGTACCATGATAGAAGATATGAAAGTCGTAAGAGGCATCTGATGACTAGGTGTCGGATAAGGAAAAAGAGAAATGATGGTGATTTTTAATAATTTAGAGAATTCTAAAAACACGTATTACGGAGATTTTTTTTAAATATACGTTAAAGTTTATGAAAAATGCTAATCTAAATGCATTAAACAATTATAGGGACACAAGAAAGGAGAAAGATTTTTTTTCCTAAAAATGGAAGAAAATAAATTGGTTATAATTTATTTTTTTTATATTATGAGTATTGATATATGAGTATAACATAATATGTTTTGTCAGATATTGATAAATTAATTTTTTTAAAGAAAACTCTTCTCACCTTACCATCCAACTTAACCCTCTCCTTAAATCCGTTAACAATTTTTTTATCATGTAAATCATTACAGATTAATTTTTTTTTCAAAATATTAAGCATCACTTCTTTAAAATTTTTAGTATATATATTTATTATTTTGTACCATAATATATAAATATATAGAATATCATTTTTGATTTGAAATATAATCCCGTGCATAGCATGGGTCAAAACACTAGTAATGATGAAAGTGTATACGCTGTTAGTGTATGAAGATTAATCTTTAATTATATAGGTCTCGCAAGTTGTTAGTTGCATTGTGGAAGAAAACATTGAAATGATATCATTCTTATCAATATATAAAGAGAATGTGTGGATTATATTATCTCGACATGAGATTAAGCATTTCCATTGGTAATCACAATTACTAGCTGAAAAAATTATCAAATACAGCTGCACTTTAGAGACCTTATTAGTGTTCTAATAAGAATCCATCATATATATATTGAGCGAATTAGTTCTCGATTTGTTCTCCGATGATCATGAATCAAAGCCTCCCAAACAAGCCTAAAGAATTTCCAAAGTGCGAAGGTCATTATAAAACGTCGGCGTTTGCTTCCACCAGAGTAGTACTAACATATTATTTTACTTAGTAGTAAGTACTTTGCCGTCAAATTACGGTATGGCGCTACTGTTTCAACTTACACCGCCAGTTTATGACTCCTACTCCCCTTCCTCCACCATTTCCAACTCTGTCGCCACCGCCTTTCAAAACGTCACCGCTGCATTATTCCGTCCTGTCTCAAATCCTCTACTCCCGGGGCCAACCTCAACTCTACACCACATACACTTGCCCGTCTGTACCCCTCACACCCTACCTCCAAGCCCAATGGCAACCCGTCCTCTATGGTTGGCTCTGCGGCGCCATTTCAGTCTACTCTCTATCCCAAATCGTACCCAAGGTGGGCAGATTATCCGCTGTCTTGACCACTTTAGATGCTGTGACGCTGCGAGACCAGGGTTTAATTTTGGGTGTTCTCGTGCTTGTAAGAATTATCTCGAGTTACTTGCAGCAGGCGTTCTCTGGGACGCCGCTCTAACTGTGTGTATAATATCAGGGTTTCTGTATACCGTCGAGTTTTAGAAAGAGATTTAGGTTTTTTGAAGGTAAAAATGGAGTTTCTGCCGGGGATATAGCTTATCGGATCACAGCTGAGTCCGCAGACGTAGCGGATACTATTTATTCCTTCTTAAACGTGAGTGTCCCTTTTCCCGCTATACTTATTTTTATTGGATCGGGATTGGCTTGATCATTATTTGAACTAAATCTGGACAAGCTTTTATCTAGCCAAGCCAGAGTCGTGCTCAACTGCTTGATGTATGTAGTGTAACTTCTAAGCTTTTGGAAACTGGGGCTGAGGCTGACTGCAGCTAAAAAAAGGCTAAAACCAGTAAAATCTTGTTCGAGTTTTGTTTGACCATGTGATAGATTGATCTGAAACAAGCTCTTTTTGAGTCAACTAGTTGATTCGTGATTATTTTCAATGCAATTTTTTTGGTGGCCATCAGCTGTGTGAAAACTTTGCCTTTATGGTTTGCCAAGTGTACTTCTAAGGCTGTTGGATATATTGCTCTATAATATAATTTGTTTCTCTACTTATTTTGGCAGACCATTGTGCCAGCACCTTGCAGTTATTAACAATGGGTACTCAGATGCTGGTCATTAGCCCTGTACTCTCCTTGATTTCAGCTTTGGTGAGGAAATGATAGGTTATAAGTTTTTTGTTCTCCTGTTTTGTGGTTTTCTATGTGTGTGTTTTTAATGGAGCATCCGATTGCACTGTCAAATCTATGGCATTTCTTGACCATGTGATAGATTGATCTGAAACAAGCTCTTTTTGAGTCAACTAGCTTGATTCGTGATTATTTTCAATGCAATTTTTTTGGTGGCCATCAGCTGTGTGAAAACTTTGCCTTTATGGTTTGCCAAGTGTACTTCTAAGGCTGTTGGATATATTGCTTATAATATAATTTTTCTCTACTTATTTTGGCAGACCATTGTGCCCAGCACCTTGCAGTTATTAACAATGGGTACTCAGATGCTGGTCATTAGCCTGTACTCTCCTTGATTTCAGCTTTGGTGAGGAAATGATAGGTTATAAGTTTTTGTTCCTGTTTTGTGGTTTTCTATGTGTGTGTTTTAATGGAGCATCGATTGCACTGTCAAATCTATGGCATTTCTTGAAGGTGATTCCAGTTATGGCTCTTATGGTTGGATGCCTTGGTGAAATCTTCGTGAGATATCTAATAGAGCGCATCTTAGTGTTGCTTCTCTCTCGGCCTATTTGAATGAGGTATGGTATAATTGGCTGGCATACGTTTCATACACGTTAATGGTTTAATTTGGCTGGTATACACGTTAATGACTATGTATGATTCCTCTATCTTGAAAATTTGAGTTCATGATGGATGGGATATAAGAAACACTCTGTGTTGTCTTCTTTGCTTGTAAAAATCAGCACTATTTTCTCTTCATTGTGGAGCAAGTGGAGCTATCTGTTTTGTTGGTCATGAGCTGTTTCTTGGGATTGGGAGTTGTGAGGCATCTTAACTTACTCCGCAAAACTTTGAACTATTGTATTATGCCTTCTCATTGTATTAAGCCTTGATAAAGCTTTCAAACTGATTACCAGAATTTGCCTTAACTGCAAGAGATTTTTTCCTTGGCCTTTGGCCAGGTCTATGCTGTTTCCTGAAAGAGCACAAAGGAAATGTATTCGTAATTTTTGGACACGTGCATTCTTGATATATTTTTTCTCTGCCTATCATGTGCATCACATTTTTGGATCAGCTTTACTTATGCATGTTGGTCTTTCCTTTGTTACATCTTGATTACCAGTTATGGCATTTTTAAAGTCAAGTTGTGGTGCCTCAAAGCCTTCTTTGGCAATTAGCCTTTCCTCAGTTTTTGTGATTGTATAATTTACTGGCTATATATTTTTTTATTACATGCTTAGGATAACTGTGTAATTCTGTTCGTTGTTCAAAATAGGTTCTGCCTTCAATTCTTTTTGTGAAGGCAAATAATGCAGAACTCTGCGAAAATGTCAGGTTTCAGTTGCTTGCTTCCACTGACTGCTCTGCGTGTTTAGACAAGAAGAAAATGAAGGCCTTAATTCCACATATAATACAGATCTTTTATTTTGGGCTATTGTTCACAATTTGTGCTGGCTCAGTGGTAGCTTCAAGAGATTCATTGGATTGTTCTGCAATTGTTTCTTTCATAACATCATTGTACCTGTTGATCGAGCCGATTCAGGTAACATTTTCTTCAATGTTGTGAAGCATTTTACATGTTAGTAGTATTTCTCCTCATGTAAGTGTCTGGTTCTTTATGAGTTATACACCTGCTTTCATTGGATGTCTTCACATAGTTTTACAATTTTGGATATGACGAAGTTTTGGTTACTTCTGAAATCCCAATTACTTGCACTAGAATTTTATCCCTAGAAGGTTATGAGTTTCTCTCCCTGATGAAGGACAAAATTTGGTACAGTTTTCATCTCTTACTATTGTTTGAACTAAGTGATAAATGATGGATTCGTACCAACAACTTTGTATTTGTTACCCCTTAGTTGTTGACACCATGTATGAGGGATTGATATTGATTAGTTCTGAGGCATTTTTTTCTTATAATATTTCATTTAAGGGAATAAGGTCATGACACAGCTAAACAAAGCCAAAAAGGGGGAAAAAGGTCATGATGCAGTAGATGGCGCATTGCTAAATAATCTTTTACAATCATTCTTGGCTCTGTTGTCAGTATGCATGTGTAGATATGATCGTTTGCAAGCATGGTGCTCATAATTTTTTACTGGTTGACTCTCAACAAATTAATGCATTTTGAGGTTTCAGGGCTGACATTTCTGGTACATGAACATTTTCTGCAACTGTTCCTTAATTGGTTTTATACTTGGTATCAATAATTGCGTTGAACTTAATTTAATATCTATTTAATTCCTAGGTTGTCAACTTGTCATGAGAACCATGAGAGAACAGGTTCCAAAACTCAATTTTCCTTGGGACTGACTGACAATGCACTGTTTCATAGTTGATGGGATATTAGATACTGCAAGAGATATGGTTGTTATCATCCTTCCAGTGCTGCTGCAAATTTGCAGTTCTATATTCATCAACTGGTAGTTTTAGTTTTAATATAGAGATGATATAATGTGCCATGTGATTACACCTAGCTAATTTCTTGTCCTACCTAAATTATGCATTTTTTGTGTGAAGATGATGGAAATAGTTCAGGTCTTTATTTTGCGCATCTTTCTAATGCCTGAATGTTCTTTCACATCTATTTCTCCATATTTTTGTGATCCTCCGTATTTATATCATTGTTAGAATATATGGAGCTATCTTAGAGTATAAATCTAAGTTTACAGGATTATGCAGGGTGTGGGTAAAGCATACAATGAATTAAAGCAAGGAGAGCCAGCAGTAGAGCGCTTGTTTACTTTGACAAGTTTTATACCTCAGGTTTTAAATCATTTAACTACTTTCTATTTGGATAGGATCTTCCTCTTTTTCTGGTTGGGGGTGGGTGTGGAGAATATACCACCTGTCAGCCCTGGCAGCATCACTCTTTATTTGTGCAACAAGCTATTTATTCAATTTTTTGCGTTTTAGGTGATTGAGCAGCCAGATTCAGTTGAATTAGACCAAGTTCTTGGAGAAGTAAAATTTTCTGGTGTCTCTTTTAGATATGAAGATAGTACACAATTTGTTTTGAATGGTGTGGATTTTCGGATCAAAGCCGGAGAGATTGTAGCTCTTGTTGGGCCATCAGGAGGAGGAAAGACTACTGTTGCAAAACTTCTTCTTCGCTTGTATGATCCTGTTTTGGTAAGTTGTGTTGTCATTTCAACATATGCTTTCACATTTTCAATTGGCCTTTGATCCTTGTTTATGATCACTATACCCATCTTTCCTATTGTGTAGAGGAGCTTACTTATTTTCTATTGACAGGTGTCATACTTATGGATGGCCATGATATTCGAAATATACGACTGGAAAATCTAAGGAGGCATGTTGGTCTCGTCTCTCAAGATGTAGTGAGTGGCAAGATACTGATCTAGTTATGTTCTTCACGTTTGTTTAATTCTAGTCTTACTTTGGTTTGAGGTATCTTTTCAGTTTGGCGCTGCTTCGGTGAGAAACAGTCCAAATATTGTGTGAAAATTTTTATTCAGTTTAGGGGATTATTAAATGAGTATTTTGCATGTAATGTGTTTAAGATTCATCTGTTGTTACATCTTCTGTCTGCAGTTGATGAAAACATCAACCATAGGATGATGGAGTTTTAGTCTTGGGAATGGGATATGCATAGCATCAAATATGACACACTAGAGAGCTTTGATTTATAGGATGATAGAGTTTTAGTAGCTTTGAAAAGTTGGGAATGCTGAGAAGTCGTCCTGAAGACCAGTGTCATTCCATTCTTCATTTTCTTATGGAGCTCCATGTTTTCTGGGATGAAAGAAAATAATGAGGCTTTGTACTTTCGAAAATCCTAGTTAAGAATGATGAGAAAGCTGGATTGCTGACATTCCTCTAGATATTTAGTTGAACATTAGAGAAATGTGGATGATATGTCTTCTATTATTTTATCCTAACAAAGACCAATTGAAAAATGCATGCCAACCTCGTGTATTTACAGCTATGATTTGATCTATGGAACAGTTCTCACGGTGTCAAAACTGCTTCTGTAGCTAGATCTGATTTTATTTTATGTTGTTTGTCAGACACTCTTTTCAGGGACTATTGCTGAAAATATTGGGTATAGGGATCTAATGGCTGACATTGATATGGAGAGGGTTGAATTTGCTGCTAGAATTGCAAATGCAGATGAATTCATTGAAACACTTCCAGATCGGTATCAAACCAATATTGGACCTAGGGGCTCAAGTCTGAGTGGAGGCCAAAAGCAAAGGTATCATCTTTTTAGCGAGTGTACTTTAGCCTTTCTTAGCCCTGCCAGGGTATGGCATAGAGAATGGCGTGGGTTCATTAAGTGGAAAGTTCTCCCGTGACTCATAGGACGAGTTTTAGCAAAATTGTAGGACGAGTTATCAGTTTTAGAATTTCTTTTCTTCTGAAACATATTGGCTATGGTTTTAATTGTCACAACTGCTGCAGAACCTTCAGTAATATAACATTATTTTATGTCAGACTGGCAATTGCAAGGGTACTTTATCAAAACCCTTCCATTCTGATTCTGGATGAAGCTACTTCTGCTTTAGACAGCAGGTCTGAGTTGCAAGTGAGACGAGCTCTGGAACGGCTGATGCAAAACCGTACCGTAAGTACAATTTTTATTTATTTCTTTATCTTTTCAGCATCTTATCGCCTCATAGTCATAGCAGCAGCATGAATTATTTTTTCGTTTTCTTTTCTTTTTAACCTTTTGTCCACTTAGGTGCTGATGTACGTCTACGAGTGTTTGCAGGTGCTAGTCATTGCACATCGTCTGGAAACAGTTCTTATGGCCCAGAGAATTTTACTCTTAGATGATGGTAAGCTTCAGGAGCTAAGTCGGTCATCACTTATAGATGCTCAACATACATCACTGGCTTCATTGGCTCTTGTAATATGATGCTTTGAGAGGGAATTCGGAACATCCATTTACCCAATATGAATTTATTGTTAAATTGCAAAATCAGCTTTGCACCTGTACGGACATTCATCCTCGGGCTTTGTTGCAGGGAAAATGGTAGTTACGATTTACGACCCTAATGCAAGTGCCAGTCATGTTCATTTGTTGTATACTTGCGTTTTACTAGAACATTTATTGTTGTACTGATGTTAATGTAGTTTAAAGCACGCACGTGTATTTCGAATCTTGTTGATTGCTGTAAACTTGCGTTTTAGACATCATACTAATCTTCTTATCGTAGATCAAAAGACTCGGACTATTTTGTCTGATGAATCACGCTGTGATTAAGGGTGTGTGTGTGTATATATACTTTCAAATGTTAATTACCCTGTCATATTTCAAAAAAGTTTACAGTACGTATTTCAAAAAGGATCTTCTAACCATGGACACTCAAAACTGTTTATGCGAAGAATAGGATAGAAGTGAAAATTTTCGGTAACTCTATAGTTAATTACCCTTTATAGTTAATTACCTTAATAAATACCCTATTTAAATAGGCTTTCATTGAGCGTGTGTGGATAGAGTGTATTATTTGGAATAATTGTTATAGTATTTTTTACGATGTGGTGTATGTAAAATAAAAAGATATTTAAAAATATTTAAAAAAATAAACTAAAAAATATGTTATAATACAAATAAAATATTATATGAAATAATTCAGTAATTCAAACACACTCGTTATTTACCACCCAGTTAATGCTAGTTCGGTTTCAATCCGACCCGCGTCCTATTTTGCAGATCACTGGGCGGGAACACTTGCCGCCACTTCCAACAAAAATTGTGAAAGGCCCAAGGAACATGAAAAGGAGAGGATAAAATTTAATCATAGCAGTAGTAGCCTCCCTCTAGGCTCATCAGTGGTCACCACGACAAACACATACTCCATTACTAGTGGTAGTACATGTTACTGTAGCAGAGTCGCAGGTTTAGGAATCGAGGAATTTCCAAGAAAACCTAAAAGGTTGAGGAGGTAAAATATCTTAAAATTCTCCCGATTTTCCCCTTTGATTTTATTCAATAAATCGAAATGGACATCTCTAAGGATTGATATTTGTGGTTGATTTTGTTATATACTTGTATTATTGCAGATACAGAAGAGATGGACACCTCAAGCCCAGCAGTATTAGTGAACGGCGAGTTACTCCGGATGCACGTCGGGAAGCGGGTAAGAGCCGTGATTCAAGTCTTACGCTCCGACGGAAGCGGCACCGTCACCGGAAAATCAACAGATGGGCAACAAATATTCGTGAAAGGGCATCCACCTGCTCCCCTTTCCACTTTTGTTGAAGTCATTGGTATTGCTGATAGCAATCAGTCTATCCGCGCCGATATCTGGACCAACTTTGGCGATGTTTTTGGTAAGATTTTGCACTTTTTAACATTTCTTTCATTTTTTTTCCCATTTTGCTCTCTCTCTCTCTCTCTCTCTCTCTCTCTCTTAAAAAAAAAAATCTTCAGTGGCTTGTTTTCTGGGGCAGACTGCTCGTCTTGGCTTGGGTTTTTTGATTGCTTATGGTGCTTGTATGTTAATGATTTGTGTAATTGAATTTGTACGGCTATGCGTGGATCTGTTAGATTGAAGTGGTTCTTGTGACCCTTGAAATCTAAATTGCTTTGATGCTGGAACTGGTTTGCCAACGACTCGCCCGTATTAAGCGAACTTATTCCTTGAGCATCTCTTGGCAATGGCTTTAGATTTGCCGGTTCCTGTTATATTTTGGGCACAAATGGACGTAAAAGCCTGAAGTGTAAGTAGGCATATCTTTCTATGTTTTGCCAATATTGGTAGTCAATTTATCCTTATCTGAAAAGGGCAGGCTGGTGATTATTGCCGGATCTTGTAGGGAACTTTTCAATATTTTCTTAGCTCTCGTGTCAGACAATTAAACTATTTGTACAATTGTTAATTAGGAGTTAACCATGAAGAATTAAACACGAAAAAGGTTTTCCAAGCTTCAGGGAGTAGGCGTTTTAGAATCCATATAATGGCAGTAAGTGTTTACTTGGTTACTCTGATCAAAGTGGACCAGATTTAGAACTTCAGAACTCTTTCATGAGCCCCGAATAGGTTCACTAGTTAGTTGAATTTTGATGCTCATGATGATGATAATGCTCGAGCGCATATCAGCGGTAGATATTAAAGGATTGCTTTCACTGAAGCCCACATGTTTTGCTGGTGGATCCGTGACTCTTCTGATGAGTATGTTATGATGTCTTGCGGAACTAAAAACGGCTACATTTTTCTTGCGCGAAAAGATTACCTTGTATGTATGCTGTTGCCAGTTGCTACTCAATCCTAAATGAAGCTTTTGCTTTCATGTTTCTGATTTGCTTATCTTTTTGGTTTTTCCAGATACCCAAGGCTACAACCATATTTGTCAGCTTGCAAACGGGGAGTATAAACACTTATTTATTTGAGAGCTCAGGCTGGAATCCAGGGCCATCCTTTGAGTACCTTCGTTTTGCGTTATTTTTGGTGGATGCTCACTTTTTACACCCTGCAGTTGCTAGTGCTTTAGTTTTATTTGTGCTTCCTGATGGATTTACTTTCCTAAATCTAAAAGCTAGATCTCTATTGGGGAACTCGTTCATTGTTCTGCGGTCATGCTTCGTTTAAATTCTGATGTAATCATTTGAAGGATATAGTGTGTAAGGAACTGGCATTGCGATTGTTCCTATTTGAGTGCCTCCATGCAAACAAACTACACTTCCTAAAGGAGTACGGTCAGGATATTCTAGGCGGCAAATTTTGTGTTAGCTTGTGCAAGGCTGCTGAAATGAAGATGGTTCTTGATCAAACTGTTCAGAAATTGTAAACGAAGTTTCATTAGTAATTGAAAATTAGCTAAATTGAACAGCTCTGGTTAAAATGTGGAAGTATGCTTTGGTTCAAAGTGAGGTAGAAGAACAACGGTGTTCTTTAAAACAACGGTGTTCTATGGCAACATATGGATATGAACGTGTGTTTATTATTTTGCTTTAGCCCCCTCATTTTCACCAAATATGGTACTCTACTCCGTCAACACCTCAAACATGCATCAGCCAAGAATGAACCAGATCTTGAAAAATATCCCGCAGATGATTGTTAGAGTAGACTCCGACTTATAAAATTATTTCTCTCTCTCTCTACGTACCAATTAAATGGGATTCATAAAATTTACCAATCAACTATATCAAGAATAATAAAGCTGAAAAGTATTAAGGCCCAAAATTTTAACCTGGTAAGCCTCTGATTTGTCAAAAAAAAAAAAAAAACCATTCATTAGTCTTCGTTTTCTTTAGGCAAATCTGATCTGACTCAGAAAAGTGATGGATGGGCTTTTAGGATTGTTTGCGCCACTCAAATCAAATGGGCCTAAAGCCAATCACCGTCGTGATTTAGGATCGATACCCAACTGGTCAGGGCTGTCCAAGTGCCGGTTTGTGGCGCGAGAAAGCTGGGGCAAAATGATGGGCGCATCAGGGAAAAGCTCTCTCGAATAAAAATTCAAGTATCCCAATCTCGAGGGCAAACGGGTCATGTACCATTGCTCCTTAACCTTAAGACTTCGAGGGGAAGAAAATATCCCAAATTGTCAAAACCCTAATTATCATCACCGCAGGGGAGCCATTCAATTTACTGGGTTGCCAAGATAATTCCAAATCCAAAATCCGGGAATTTCTTTAGAGAGTTCGAAAGATTCAAGATTCGTTGGTAATTTCTTCAACTACACGCCTAAATTCACAGACGCATTTTTCAATATTTTTCTGCATTTGTATATGCCTTTTCTTTTATTGTTAGATTGATCTCTACCTGTAATTTTTTTTTCCTGTCTTTCTTTTATGCAATCCCTCGTTTTCGCCATTTTGATATTTTCCGCTTTTTTTTTTTTTTGGGGTTGGGGTGTTTCTTTTTTGGGGTGGGTGTGGGTGCGGGGGTCTGGCGATAAATTGGGTGGACGTTTAACTTTATAATGTGGGTTTCTGAGCTGAATGGATTCTAGTACATTAGAGAAGAAAGTCCTTGTATGTTTTTTCATATTTGCCTTTTTGCCTACCTCAAAGAATTTACTGCATTCACTATATCGTCTGAAATGTCTCAAGCTAATTAGTCGAAAGAAGTTATTTGACGAGATCCATGACCCGCAAATTTTCATATATTGTTCAGAAAACCTAGGGAAAAGCATGATAGCTGCAGGATTGGGTACTTTCTCTATTAGCAGACGAGACAGATTTATAGATTTGCTATGTCTGTAACAATTCATGCCCTTTTCTTTGATGGTTTATATGTAGAGAAATGGTTCTGCAACATGCATTTTAGTTTGTTTTTGATTGTACATTTACGGAATGTACATTTACTGCAGGAATCTTACTGTTGTTCTGGGGATGAATTCTGGTTGTGGGATTGATTTTTTAAATGGGGATTGACGGTTTCTTGATGATCAAACTAGTTTAGCATTCTTTTCCCCATTTGGAGATATTTCTCCAATTTTATTGCTTGTAGATCTCTTTCACATCCCTTTGTTGATTTCTCTTTTTCCTTTCTAATCTTTTGTGAATTACATTGGTCCTATTGATGGTTTTGATTAAAATCTGGACATGACTATTCGGGATCGAACGTCTTCATTCATTCATGTATTCATTTTTCTCTACCTGTTGAGTATCATCTTCCTGTCGATCATCTCTGGAACTCTCCTTTACCTGCCTTTTTTTGTATTACTGTATTCTATCAGCCCTTAATTGAAAATTGTTCGAATTGAAACTCCTTGTAGCCACACCCCTAATGGCAGAAATTCAATTAACAATCTTACTCAGAGGCTTCTTTTGGCCTCTCATTTTGTTTCCATCTATCCGTGCTTGTCTTCTTTCTTTTGCAAATGTTTCTGGCTTCTTTGCTCCCATCAGAGTTCCAGCACAAGCTTATCTTTTAAGATCTATAAGATGCCAAGGACGAGGTCAAGTGCTGCAGCTACTAAACCAGGCGAAACTAACAAGCTTGTTGAGTTCGAAGATCATGTGAACACGGATGGAGAAAATGATAATGACGAGGCAGTGGAGGAGGAAGTTGAGTATGAAGAAGTAGAAGAAGAAGTAGAAGAAGAAGTAGAAGTGGAAGAAGATGAAGAGGTAGAAGTAGAAGAGGAAGAAGTGGAAGAGGTAGATGAGGATGAGGAAGAGGAGGAAGTAGAAGAAGAGGAAGAAGAAACAGAGGAACATGATGTCAGTGGTGGTGGTGAGCAGAATGTCATAAATGATGAGAACATGAAAGATGCTGAGATAGAAGAGGAAGTGAAAAAAAAACACAATCAACTTCTTGCACTTCCTCCTCATGGTTCAGAGGTTTACCTCGGTGGCTTTACTCAAGATGTTTCTGAAGATGACCTTGGGTTTTTGCGGATCCATAGGGGAAGTTACAGAGGTAAATCATTTCCGTCCTTCTTGTGTGCAATGTCTATTTGACTTCTTATCCTGCAGAGGTTTTGCATGCCAATTGCAGATCAGGATAATGAAAGGAAAGGGCTCAAATGAGAACAAAGGATATGCATTTGTCACTTTCAGGACGAAGGAAATGGCATCTGAGGCCATCAAGTCTCTTAATAATACTGAACTTAAGGTAAGTAGGGCAGTCTTGAAACCCTTTCCTTTGCCAAGAGAACTTCTTCTCTTCTGAATTATCCTGCTATGATTTCCATTTTTTTCACATCCGTACCATTCAACATTTTCTGACTTTTCTGGTTTACAATGGAATCTGTATTTTTAGGGAAGAAGGCTGAAGTGTTCTACATCTCAGGAAAAGCACCGGTTGTTCATTGGTAACGTTCCAAGAAGCTGGGGGGAGGAAGATATGAAAAAGGTTGTAACCAAGGTTGGGCCTGGTTATTACTGTGGAGCTACTAAAGGTCTGGGTCGTCCCACTGCATTTTTGTCATACTGTTTTTATTGAGTTAGCATACCCTTTCTTCCTTAAAAAGAGTGATACCCATTTCTTTTGCTTGTTATCTATTAGTCTCTCTCCCTCCATGGAACACCCCTTTCTCCCAGCAAGGCATGGATAGATAAACTTTTCTGTTGGGTTGTGTATGTTTTGATCAATTAAGAGGTGCTGTTACAGGACCCACAAAACTCTAGCCGAAATCGTGGTTTTGCATTCATTGAGTATTACAATCATGCATGTGCTGAATATTCCAGAGAAAAGATGTCTGATTCGAGCTTTAAACTTGATGAAAATGCCCCAACAGTGAGCTGGGCAGACCCAAAGAATGTAGAATCTTCGGCTTCCTCTCTGGTAATTCTCTTAAATTGAACAATTTTACTGATACTTTCATTGGCAATGAATCTTCTAGCCCCAAGAATGATTATAAAGTTCATCCTGCTATGGGTAATTTCTTACTCTGTTTCATAAGAAGCCTTCAATATGCATCAGATATTAATGCTCTTTTGAACTTCTTTGACCCTGCCTTTCCATTGATATCTGTTGAATGTATTTGCTTAATAAATGTATAGGTGGTAGTCTGATTTAGTTGGATACATATATTACATCCTCTAAAAGGGGATTTTCTATTTTAAGTGATTTTTATGGATTTCAACTTATTGAAGTTGCTCATTATGCTAGATAGGCACATCTTTCTTCAATGCGTAGAAGAAAAACACCTGCTATATCCTGCATCTAGAGACTGCACCATATTTTTGTGAAAAAACGTCTACTGTGTTACTTAAAATTGCATTTCGGGAGTTTGTTCAGTTTTGTTAACTACACTTATGTGGTAACTTTTTTCCTCATTTGTAGGTTAAAGCCGTCTATGTGAAGAATCTACCCAAAAATGTTACCCAGGATCAGCTGAGAAAGTCGTTTGAGCATCATGGGAAGATCACAAAGGTGGTTCTTCCTCCTGCAAAACCAGGGCATGAAAATAGCAGATTTGGCTTTGTTCACTTTGCTGAAAGATCTAGTGCAATGAAGGCTTTGAAGAATACAGAGAAATATGATAGATGGTAAACTGTTGTTTGAAAATTACTTCATGTACAATGCTTTCTTTATGATAACTTCTTGTCAAGTTGTTTTGGTTGGTTAATACTGGACTTACTTGATAGGTCAAGTTTTGGAGTGCTCGCTTGCTAAGCCACAGGCAGATCAAAAGTCTTCTGGACAACCAAATTCACAGAAGGCAGCTGTTCTTCCTTCCTATCCCTCTCCTCTTGGATATGGCTTGGTTGGTGCAACTATGGTGCTGTTAGTGGAGGTTTAACCCAAGTAAGATAATATTCAATTTGTAGGTCAAAGGTTTTCTTTTTCACATAGTTAACTATCTCCACTTTTTCTTTTGGGTTCAGTTGGGTCTTTGTGCTCTATCTTGTTCTCATTGTGTGCTATATTAGCTTGGCATGCTTATTTCCATTTTTCAGTTCAAGAGCAGGCTTATTTTATTACTGAGTGCGCAATAAATTTTTCCTTTTTTTTTTACCTCTTTTTGAAAATCCACATAGAAGAACATACTTAAATTATATGCTGGTTGGGCAAGAAAAATTAATTATGCATGTTTGGTAGACAAGCTACTGCATCTCATGTATGTGAGCATGCGCTTCTCTTTTTTTTTTTTTGGTCAAGTAGTGTGCCTTTGCTTGTTTGTCTGTTAATCACTTCTGCACTGACAATGATTATGAGATTACATACTCCATGAATTGCATAATACAGCTTTTGTTTTGACTTGATACAGTTTTTGGGCCAAATAAATAGTATCTATTGCATGTTAGTTACTAACTTACATTTTATTTCCTCAATATGATCTATAACTATTTGGGGAATAGTGCCTTGCTTGAAAAGTTAATTCACAATTTTCTGTTTTCCTGAATACAAATTGCATGTAATTACTGAGACAAGATTATGGTGCAAGAGTTCTTAGACAATATTCTCTAT